CGGACGGCCAACTCCTCCTACTAGCCCTCCCGCTCCAGCAGGCCGCAGAGAATGGGGGTGGGAGCTGTGTTACCAACCTGACTTCTGCATAGCACAACTGATTGCCTCAACCCCATTAAAAGGCAAGAAATTCAACCAATGACAAGCCACACCTGTAGAGCGAAAATCATTTCAGGTGACTACATCATGAATCTCACTGAGAGAAGGCCAAGGGTTTGCAGCACTGCCAACAAAGTAAAAGGTTTTATGTATGTATGTATCTACAATGTAGAAAGTTAAAAAAAAAAAAAATCAAATGAGAAGGTGTGTCCAAACTTCTGACTGGTAGTGTATATTCTTTATATATATTACAGCACCGGATCCCCGCAAGGCTGTGTTCCCAGCCCCCTACTGTACAACCCTGTACACATATGACTGTACATCAACCCACCCAACCAACGTCATCGTCAAGTATGCTGATGATGGAGATGAAACAGCGTACAACGTGCAGATAGAGGACTTGTCCTACTTCTTTAGAAAATAATCTGAATCTGAATGTCAGTGTCCCCTTGAACTCTGCTCACCACCTGTTTGACCCACTACCCTCTGGCCGATGCCTCGGGTAGATCAGGTCCCACACTTCCAGGCTCACAAACAGCTTCTTCCCCTGCATCATTCAGACCATCAAAAAACTATCACAAAATGCTAATTCTATTATTAACTACTTCTGATAATAATACAACTAAAAAAAGGATAAATTAAGTTTTCCAATAAAATTATGTTAAGAAAATTTAAAAATGTTAACTCACATGTTTTGTTTTGCATTAATAAATATTTCAAAAGAAAGAATTGTATGGGGTTGTTGTTTTCAGAGCCAGTGCATCAGTATGTTACACTTTCAAGCTTATCATTTACTTTAACCAATGTTGGTTTTTCTTTCTGGCCGTTGGGCATAGCAGGAAAATAACATCAACCTCAATGCAGTTGAGTTACATGTCAGCCCTTTTGTGCTGCAATACAGCAACAGTGATATCAGTAAAGTTTTACTGATTGTATGTGTGTGAAAGAAAACCAACAGAACAAATCACAAACCAAAACTGAGCTCCTTTAAATTCCCCTCCTGACTTTGTTGGACCTTTTTTTTTATATATTTTTCAGACTACACTTCAAAAACAGTAACACATTCACAGTGTAACAACAGATAATATAATATATGAAAAGGGGAGACAATAACTGAATCTTTTTCTCTTTTTTTTGTACAGCAGCAACAACAGCCTAGCATGATTATGCCACATGAACAAGATCTACAACTCTTGCAACACTTCCTTTCTCAACATTTACCAACTATCTAAATTGTGAGTGGAAGTTTACAACACGTCTTCTCGTCACTTTTTATGCTGTGTATGCTGTATATCTCTGCTGCAAGATACAACAAGATATCACGGCCTTATTATTTTATGCATAAAGTATGCCAATAAAAAAACTACTCACTGGATATAAGTGTTTTGGGGACAAAATTTGAGCAGCAAGGCTGAGATGGTTTAGGCATGTGTAGGGGAGCGATAGTGAGAGGAGGGATATATTGGACAAAGAATGTGTAATATGGAGACGAAAAGTGAGAGACAACAAAGAAAATCACAAGATGCAGTAAATAAGGACATGCAGAAGGCCAGTGTAAGTAAAGAGTATTCAAGTGACAGCGGGAGAGCCATTGTGCCCCCTTCAGGAGGCACCCAAGAGAAGAATATTAAATGTCAATGATGGGTTTCTTTCTAAACATTTACATGTCAATGTAAATGTCAATGTTGGTAATACGTTACCAACAAAGGTGATAATACCTTTGTTGAAGTATAAAATAGATTTTATTAAGCGTATTTAATACGGCTGTGTCAGATAATGCATACCCAATTTCTCACTCTACACAAACACTGGGATTTCAGTAGCTTTTTTGAGTCAACTCCCCCTCGACTACTGTTGTGGGCTTTATGCGCACGGTTCTGTCTTCCTTAAGAAATGTGAGTAGGACTGACTTCCCTTAATGTGGCGCAATATATCCTTCTATTGCTCCCATAAAAGGAAGACTGTGAGACTTGGGCGTAAGCAGCGTTCGCATTCCCAGGATATAGACCATAGCTGAGTGTTTTCCATAGCAGAAAAAATGCACTCAGTTGTTTCATAATGGATTCAAATAGGTAAACTGAATAACTTGAAGTTGTCTTTCTTACTGAATCCGCCATGTTTGTTGAAAGAAAAGATCTCCTTTTGCGTTTCCCCTTTTCTTTTCCAGACAAGTCTGCATCAGGATCTCTGTTATCTTGCTTCTTTTAGCACACATCGCGACTGCAGCAGTTCTCTCTGGTATGTACATTACAGTGAACAAATGCTGTAATGGATTATTCTATGTGTAAATTCTTAATGAGCCACAATTTATAATTTATGTTTCGTGCAGGAAATATTCAGACAACTAACTCCAGTCTTGACTGTACCAACGACTTTGACGAGCTGATGTTGTGTCAGCTGGAGCTACAAAACTGCACTGAGTACAGATTGACTCTCCAGAGTGTAGACGGGTATGACTGAGATGGGTTTTGTTTTTTGTTTTTTAGTCTTATTATAACACTGGCTTTTGTAAGCTAGAGGAAATAAAAATGTGGGATGGAGGCATTGGGTGAAAATGCTGTACATAAAAATGTAATATTAGCTTAATTAGCACAAGATGTCATAAATATCATTTGTTTTAAACATTTTGTATTATTATTTCCCACAGTAAGAAGAATTGCTTTTTACAACAGTGTGGCACTGGAAAATGTTGTTGCTCCTTCCGACTGATACTCGTGCTTGGAGAAACTCACACAGCAGCTATCTGGAAAGATGGCAACGTCACGGAGTCAAAAGTTTTCAGTGTCACAGAGAACAGTATGTTGACTTC